TTTTGTTTATACCTCTACAGGGTTTGCAATCTCAGCATTGACATTTTGCGTCAGATAAGTTTCTGTTGTAGGGGGCTGTCCCGTGCATTTTCAGACATTTAGCAGCATCCTAGGCTTCTACCCACTGGATGACAGGAGTACCAAAAATGCCTCCACACGCTGTCGAATATCTGGGGACGTGGAGTGGGGGGCACAAACTGCCACTGCTCTAATTTAACCCTTGAGACTACAGCCTATGTAACAGTGAAATTTATATAAGCCGAGGACCTGCACAGGATTGTAAATACAAGTCAACTCATATAGTCACCGAGTGTCTAAGTGACAGTGACCGAGCTACAACAGTGAACAGTTCCTGTTCTCACAGAACTTACATTCTAGGGCCGTGCCTTGGTCATACCTGCATTTCCCAAGGGCCGTACTCATGATATACAACCAGTGCTTGGCACATACATGCCTAGTTATTAAGTTGAACAAGCTGTAACGTATAGGAAAACCTCATTAAGAACATGAATTTCAGGGGGACATTCGGTGGGAAGAGTGGTAGCTTTAAATAGAATATACCTGGGGCCACCTACCTAATGACTCGCTGAAAAATTAATCCAGGGATATTTGTTCTGCTTCCTTTGTTTTCTCAAGCACGTAATGGAGGGAAAGTACTGGTTTTCCTACTGCATTCCAGGTTGGAATCTACTTCTTCCAAAGTATATGTGAACCTTGCCCGTAAAACAATAACATGGGCCTGACTGATAAGTACTAAGTGTGAACCGCTATGCCTCCAGGGCTCCCTGCAAGATGATGATAATAATAAACACAACTAAACAAAAGAAACAAAACAAAAAACAAAAACAAAAAACCTTAAACCTTGAGACTGGGCTTTCAGTGTGAATATTCTGCCTAGAAGTTGAAATATAATGTTCATCTTATATAACCCCCATCTAACCAAACACATTTAACCAAAAACATGTTCAGGAACACACTTCTCTCTATCAGTGACATATGCAACTTATGACTTAAAGAGTGCACTACTGAAAAGGCTCTTGAAAAGAGTAATTAGACTGTAAGCTGCCAGTAGCAGGAACGAATGCATGGATCTGCTCTGCAGATGGTCCAGTGCATGGCACGTAAGGGATACCCTTATAAGACCCTGCAGGACCTATTAACTGACAAGATATAAAAGGCATTAAAAAAGGACAGTGTAAAAAATAATTTTAAGGTTTCAAGCTTGGGGAGCCAGAAGTGGAACCTTTGCCAATTATAGGGTAACTAGAAGATAGTGTTTTGGGTCACTATGATATCCAAAAGGCACCCAAATAACGCGTATGTCGCTGGGGTGTTCAAGAGCTAGAGACGTGACCCTAGGCATCATCTGCACGTATGCAGAGCCTGAGAGCTGATCCATAGACTGGGGAAGAATAGAGGACCTGGAGAGAATCTAAGGGGCAGCCACGGTACAGGGCCCCTGGGCAGGTAAGCAAAGAACCACAAGCAAGCAGCAGCCTGCAAAGCGGGCGAGGTGGATTTAGAAGAATTTAGTGTTACTAAAGTCATGAACTAGTTTCCAGTGTGGAAT